AGCAGGACTGTGCTCCCTCCAGGGGCTCTCGGAGAGAATCTGTTCCCGACTCTTCCAGCTTCTGGTGTCACTGGCAGTGCTTGACTTGTGGCTGCATCATTCAAATCGCTGATTCTGTGATCACACTGCCTTCTCTTCTGTCTGTGAAATCTTCCTTTGCCCTCTTATAAGGATACTTGTGATAGCATTTAGGGCCTACTCAGATAATCCAGGATAATGCCCTCATCTCAGGATCTTTAATTTAATTATACCGACAGAGGTCCTTTTTCCATGTAAGACAACATTTATAGATTCCTGGGGGTAGGACCTGATAGCTTTAGGGATCATTAGCCCATTTTACTTAACATGTTAAAACAAACAAAAAAACTCTTGATGTCTTTCTCAAGTTAGTTTCACTTCAGTGTTCTGCATCTCAGTACCTGTGCATTTGCTCAAGCCAGAACCCTAGGAGTCACTCTGGAGTTCTTCCTTTTCCCCATCCTTTATATACAATTTGTCTGTAAACCCTTTGATTCTACCTCCAGAATATTTCTAGAACCTACCTATACCTTTTTATCTCCACTGTTGCAACCCTACTCCAAGTAACCATCTCTCTGTACAATTTCAGTAGCATCCTAAGTGGTTTTTCTACTTCTATTTTTTGTTTCTTTAATCCATTCTCCATCAGGTAGCTAGAATGATTTTTAAAAATGTTAAGATCATGTCATTCCCCCGCTTAAAACTCTTCAATAGTTTGCTACACTGAAAATAAAATCTCAATTCTTTATGGCCTATAAGATTTTATATGTTCTAGCCTCTCTCAGGTTTCACTTCCTGCCACTTGTTCCTTTGCCCTCTGTACCCCAGTCACACTGGCTTTCTTACATTTCCTTGAACATGCAAAACTATTTATCAATGTGGCCTTTGCACATGTTATTTCCCTCTGCCCCAGTGCATCCCTTCTTCATGTCTCTGTGTAAATGTCACTTCCTCAGCCTGTGAGGCCTCTTCTGACCTTGTCCAAGTGAGGTGTGTCATTCCTAACCATGCTGGCTCCATCTCA